TGGTACCCCCAGTGAGCAACCTCCCCCCAAACACCTATCCAATCACTATGACTTATAGTACTTACCTGCCTTTATCTGGAGCGGGAGGAGGGGTCAATGTTTGTCCCTCCCTCCCTCCACAGCGGGTTGTTATTTATTTTTGGCTACGTTCGCCTCAGCAGATGTCTCCAGTTTCTGTTCTCCTCACCATTTCCAAGGCTCAGCTTAATTGTTACTTCCTACGTAAAGTCTTTTTTGATTTTCACCCACCCCTCACCACACCCCCAGCTGTTAGCATTCTCTCTAGCCTTAAAATATCTTGTAATTATATATATGGTGTTCCCCCCGTGTTTACTGCTTGAGGACAAGGCCTGTTTCTGTTTTTAATCATTCTCTCCCGAGTGCCTAGCACAGTATCTTGTGTGCAGGAAACTCTTGATAAATGTTTGTGTTTAAGGGCTACTGTAGCCAGTGTGACATTTGTGGGATGAATTAATTAATGCATTTTCTCTACAGTTCCACTGCCCCTCTAATGGTTGCCTCATTACTGACCACATGTGCTATCCTCTGTGGCTCTTGATTCTTGCGTCTTTCCTCAGTATTTGTTCCAATAAATCTCCCTAGAGTAACTGGAGTAGGTGGTTGTTTCATTGCCATCTTGAAGCATCAAGGCACCCAGAAACAGGTGAATTTAGGTGAATCAAACAACTGCCACCATCTTGTTTGTTTTTTTTTTTTAGTGAGGCAATTGGGGTTAAGTGACTTACCCAGAGTCACACAGCTAGGAAGTATTATGTATCTGAGGCTGAATTTGAACTCAGGTCCTTCTGACTCCAGGGCCAGTGCTCTATCAGCTGTGCCACCTAGCTGCCCAACTGCCCCACCATGAGCTGGCCTCTCCCCTCAGATCCTGAAGGAGTCAGCCCAGGTCTCAGAACCGAGGAGACCTGGGAATAGCTATGCCTCCCAGACCACAGGCTTCCAGCCTGGGCCCTGCAGCCATTGCTGAGAGAAACAATGGAGAAGGGAAAACTGTTATCTTCACCACCACTGACCAGTGGCTGCCAATAGGCAATGGCAGTGCTCCCCAGACCACTGGTCCTGCTTCTAGCCCAGTGCCTGCAGCCACCATCCTGGAAATCAGCCCCTATAGAGATGCTGCCTGGCAACTGGTTCCTTTAGTGCTTAAGCCATCACCTTCTCAACAACCATAGCTACTGACAACTCGGAAAGCAAAGTCTGAAACCAAAGTTCTTGGCACTGCTCAATTGTTCGACGTCAGAAACTGATGGGGTTGCATTAGTAGAAATGACTCTTTAAAAAGAAGTGCAGTTATCCCTTCCACATTGCAGAGGTTAGGGGGATGGCAGCCCCGGGCTCTGGAAGATCCACATAAAAGTTTTTGGCCCGGGGCAGCTAGGTGGTGCAGTGAACAGAGCACCAGCCCTGAAGTCAGGAATGCCTGAGTTCAAATCTGGCCTCAGACCAAACACTTGACACTTACTAGCTGTGTGACCCTGGGCAAATCACTTAACCCCAATTGCCTTAAAAAAAAAGTTTTTGGCCCTCCCTTTGTACCAGAGAAGAAATCTGAATTTTTTTTTTTTCTTTTATGGGGTGTAAATACTTGGTCACAGGGCTCTGTGTCATCTACTGGCCTTCACGTGTCATTTGTGGCTTCCACAATACTCCCCCAAAATTCCCTTCTAATTTTTTATGCTGACCTGCAATACATTGAAACCTCAATAGGGAAAGTTGTGATGTGGAAGGGATAACTGTATTGCCATCTGATTTGCTGCTGTACCCTCAGGACCATAGACTTTCCCATCTGACATGAAACCTTCTCTATGTGCTGTGCCTGCCATTCAGATGTGAGCTCTTTGAACCCTGGGGCTGTCTTGGCTTTTCTATTTCTTTTCCTGACAATTTGTATACTGTTTTGCACATAGTAAGCACTTGGTAAGGGCAGCTAGATGGCATAGTGGAAAGAGTGCTGGGCCTGGAGTCAGGAAGACTCATCTTCCTATGTTCCTAAGGCCTCAGGCCTTAGCTGTTGTGACCCTGGGCAAGTCACTTACCCCGTTTGCTTTAGTTTCCTTACCTGTAAAATGAGTTAGAAAAGGAAATGGCAGACTGCTCGAGTATCTGTGCCAAGAAAAGCCCAAATGGGGTCATGAAGAGTCGGACCCAACTGAAATGACTGAATGACAACAAAAGTAGTTGGTAATTACTGATTCGTTTGTCCTCACTGGGTCCAAGGATTCAGGGAAAACGTTCTATCTTTTCCCCAATTATCCCTCCATTTTCTGCCTTTTGCCAAGGTGGTTAGACAGGATTCTTCAAATTAGAGGAGAGAAAGAGACTTGTAATCCTCGCCACCTCTTTATTGTGCAGAGGGAGGAGGTTTTTTTTTTAAAATACAAAATGCTAAAAAGCACTTATATTATACACATTTATGTGTGTGTGTATATATATATATATGTGTATATATATATGCACACACACACACATACACACACACATATATATATATATATACACACATGCATGCACACATTTATATTACACACGTTGTATTCATATATTACATATCAGGATAACATCGTATACCGGCATATATGTATATGTACATGTGTGTGTATGTGTGTATGTGTGTGTGTGTTTACATACATGCACTTTTGTTTATGTGGGTTATATCTATAAATATTTACCCTGAATAACTTACCATATTAGAAATGAAAACATTTTATTATTATTATATAAATAGTTTTTACTTCATAGCTCCCCCTTCCCCCAAAGGGTTTTGAATCAAATGAGGCAATATTGGTAAAAAGTGTTACACATTCCCTGGAACACAGTAGGTGCTTAATAAATGTTTCTTCCTTTCCCTTCCCCTTCCCCCCTGCCCCAGACCACACTTTGAGAACCACTGCTTTAGAAGATCAAAAATAGAAGAGGACTTGATTTACCCTTTCCCAGGAATCATATGATTGACCCAGCAGGTTGTAGCTCCAACATTCAGCAAAAATGAAAGTGTATATGCTTACGAAAATAGGACTGGGAATGAATCTGAGTCATGTTAAAGTGACTTCAGAGATAAAAATCATCTTTATCTACATTTAAGTCATATCACATGCAGACTCTCTGAACCCTAACTGCTCCCTATTATGAAGGTCACTTCATAAAAATATTTCCCTAGAAATTCCATCTGTCCTGAGACCACCCAGTTATGTCCACATTTTTATTATCAGTATGACTACAATCAACCTTGATTAGATCTTTTGAAAATACATCTATAGTTTTTTTGAGTTCTGCTACATAGTAGTGTGTGTGTGTGTGTGTGTGTGTGTGTGTGTGTGTACGTATTGTGAGAGAGAACTTTGCTGTATACATTTGGGGACATGCTGGAAATCTGATGAACTTTGCTAGAAATGCAGTTGGCTTTCTTTCTTTCTCTGTCTCTATCTCTTTCTCTCCTCCCTTTCTCCCTTTCTCTCTTCCTTCCTTCCTTCCTTCCTTCCTTCCTTCCTTCCTTCCTTCCTTCCTTCCTTCCTTCCTTCCTTCCTTCCTTCCTTCCTTTCCTTTAATCTATTCTTGTGCCTGTCTCTAGGCTATATGGTCTGGCTCTTTGCAAAGATATTAGAACATCTTACAATACTGATATTGGGATTAAAGGGCAATATCATCCTTTAAGGTTGGGATTCATAATACATTTCAGAAGGTCTATGAACTTGGATAGAAAAAAAAAGATGTCTTTATTTCAATGAAATTGATTTCCTTTCTAATTTTATGTATTTTTACTTTATGCATTTAAGACATTCATCTGAGAAGTGGTCATAGACTTCACTAGACTGCCAAGGGGGGTCCATGATGCAAAAAATAATTAAGAATCCCTGCTTTGAGATTTTACATTGAGAGAGAGAGAGAGAGAGAGAGAGAGAGAGAGAGAGAGAGAGAGAGAGAGAGAGAGAGAGAGAGAGAGAGAGAGAGATACAGAGAGACAGAGACAGAGAGACAGAGACAGAGAGGGGAAGAGAGACAGACAGACAGACAGACAGATAGACAGAGACAGAGATGCACTAAATGCCATTTTGCATTGGATTTGCCTGGCAGTATAACTAAAGTCTGTGCCAGAGAGAAGGCTTTTTTTCCCTCCTTATCTTTCTCACTAATGGACCAACACATTCTCTGAAGCTTTTCCCTTCATTTTGTCCTTTGCTTTTGCACACACCCTCGTCTGTTTACCTGCCATATACTTCAGTGTTCTTCTTCCCCCACCATGAGGTATTTTCTACCATCCTTTAATAACAAAAGAGTCTGCATGAGCTCTAAGAATGAAATTGCAGTTAGAAGTTTAACTTTCAAGTCAGGAAGACCTGAGTTTAAATCCTCCCTCTGATACATGTTAATTTTGTGCTGCTGGGCAAGTCACATAAACTCCGTGAGCCACGTTTTCATCACAGATGACTTGTAGGGACTCTGTCAGCTCAAGTCTGTGATCCCATGCTCGAATGAGATGTTCTACTTCCCAGAGAGATACAGTGCTATGGTGGTCAGAGTGCTGAACTTGGAGTCTGCAAGACCCAGATTCAAATCCTACTTCAGATATTTGCTAGGTATGTGAGCCTAGTCAAATCACTGAGTCTTTGTAGGCCTCAATTTTCTTATCTGTAAAATGGGGATAATAATAGCACCTACCCCACCAGACTATGGGGCTCCCATGAAATGATGTCTGTAAAATAAACATTAGAAGGCTCCATTAGCACAAGCTACAGTGATAATAAAGGTCCAAACTCTCTGAATTTTAAAATGACTTCTCATCCAACTCACCCTTTACTGGTCCCTAAGTCTGTTTTGTAAAATATCCCACGGTCCAACAACTTTCTGGCCAGTCATTTTTGCATGTGGTTATTGAACTTTGAGGCTCTGACTCATGCGGAGGCTTTAAGCAAACCTGCCTTTCCCTTTTGTGTGAGTGTGAGCGCGCGTGTTTTCTTTCTTTTTTCAACTCAAAGCAAAACCACCTCACTCAAAAGCCCAGCAGTTACGGAAGTGAGGTGTTGGTATGGAATAACTTACAGCTGCCCTGTGAGCTTAGTTGTCATGTCGTGTCTGCTTGCTTTTTTCCCCCTCTCACTTGACTCCAGATAAGCCTGTGAATTCAGCCCTGACTTCCTCCAGAGGCTTTCCTGTGCTCAGACTGAAGACTGGCACCATAGTTAGATGACTCAGGTGTTCACTGGCAAAGATCGCATTGGACAAGCCAAGGCAGGAGACAGGTGCCACTGCCTGGTAAGCATCAATCTCTTTTCTGGGAAACTGGCCCCCAGGGAAAGACAATAGACTACAGGGAAGAGAGGGATGTAATTTATTTTTTGCCCTGATAATTATTCTGAACAATCAGCTTTCTCATGGCTTCAATCTTTGCATTATGTACCCAAATAGAAAATCAAAATCCTTTAATTTTCTTCAGGCCAAATTCTTACACATTTTAGCAAAATCATACTTAATTTGAAGTAGCGATTTCTGGGGAAAAGTTAATCAAAGATTTTATGTTGATAATCAGTAAATACCAGCAAGAATGAATGAATGTGGCTGTGATCTCAGAAGCTATTTTCCTTGTGCACAATAAAGAACAGTATAATTCCCAGGATATTTTTGACTATAAACCACTTTCCCTTGAAAATATCTTACTTTTAGTTATTGATTTATGGGTACTCTTCGCTGGCTGAGTACAGGTTAGGAGTGTCCAGTATCTTCCTCAGTTATTTCTCCTAGACAAGGTCTCTATAGATAAGCAATGCACAAAGAGAATGAGTTTCCTGAACCTGATTCCAGGAGGGTGGGAAAAGACAATATTCTGGGAATGAATTAAGTCAGTGGGAACTCACTGTGAGGATAACATGTGGCTATTTCACTGTAGTCAGTGAGAACCTTAGCCAGCTGGGGACTGGGGACATGTGATTAGGCAGAGAATGACTTTCGTGGTTCCCTGTGACTCAGGAGGGGAGATTGACTCTAAGAGTGGGTACAAGTATACTTTTAAAAATCCCACTCCCTCTCTCTTTGAACATGGATGCAAATCAGTGTCTTGGTGACTACAACTTTTGCCATGAATAAAACAAGGCGATAGACATAACTGTCTGGGATAGTCTGGAAAACCAAACCAAACCAAATCAGGAATGTGACCTCAAGGGCTATTCTTTGAAACCTTTGACTTCGGTGATGTTCTTAAAATCACAGTGTAAATGATGGTGTATTCTACCATGTGTTAGAGTGTTGGTTTTGAGCAAAAGCAATATTTTTTTTGGGGGGGGGGGTGAGAGCTCTGTTTAGAAACAAGAGGTCAAATAAGCCTTTTCCTTCCTCATGGTGTGAACACTTTGAGGGGCTTAAAATTGATGGTGAAAAGGATTTCATCAGAGTTCTTTAGGAAACTGGGGAATGGACCCAACAGGATATGCTGACTGGAATTCAGCTCATGGTCCAAGAAGCTTAGCAAGGCACAATGCCTTCTACGTGGCAGCTGCCTGATAAATGCTTATTGACTTGACTTGACTTGAATTGAGATGGGATTATGACCTAGCCTGTTGCCACAGAAGATCTGCCTCTGGATGGTGAGGACTGCATTTTTTTGGGAGAAAGCTTTGGTCTTTTTATGGTACCTAATGCTGGGTGATAGCAACCTGTGCCACTGAGAAGTGCCTGAGGCTATTATTGATGTAACTCTGCACTTTCTAGGGATTGGGGAGGATTTTTTTTTTTAGGCAGGTGGGGTTAAGTGACTTGACCAAGGTCACACAGCTAGTACGTTTCAAGTGTTTGGTCTGAGTCCAGATTTGAACTCAGGTCCTCCTGACTTCAGGGCCAGTGCTCTATCCACTGCACCACCCAGCTGCCACCGAGGATTTTCCACAGATGGTACTGGAATAGTATTAGTATGTTTTTCTTCTGTCACAAGTACTGGCACCATTTGTGTTCTTGAGTGCCCTGAATGCACTAAGCCAGAGAGGTGACCAATCTCTTGTTATTGACACTCCACCACCACTCCTCTTCATCTCTTTATATTTGTTTTCCCTTTTTCCTTTCTCCCTGTCAACCTTTTTTGTCTCGTACTTTTTCTCCCCTCCTTTCTTCTTCCCTGACTAGGTCTGTGGTCTGCCAGTGACACCAAAGGCCAAAGATGTTTCTGAGCATGACCTCCTGTATTGGAAGCACTCAGTTAATATCAACTGGCAGTAGAAGGGAACTTTTTCAAGAGAATTCCACTTATTTCCCCATTGTGGAAAATCTTCCCCATCCCTGCATTTCCTTGAATGACTTTGGAATCAGCTTAGATCTCTTCCCATTGGCCCCTTGGTTCACAGCCTGCAGAAAGGTAATCATGATGCTGCAGATTTCATAAGTATTGCAAAGCTCTGGAAAGAAGGCTATATTTGCAAAGGGTTATTAATCAGCAGTGCTGTTTGTCATTTCCAGTCAGGGCAGAGGAAGAGAAATCCCATGAAATCTTTAAGTCTTTCAAGATTGCAAAATGGGAAGAAAGAAGGGGTAAGGAGGGGAAAAACTGCTCATGGTAAAATAGACCCGAAGACCCAGTCTTTAGCTTTTAAGGAAGATATTAAACAAAGTGTGTCATGAGTCTGAGAGCTGGTTGGGAGTGGGGTTGGAGGTAGATATTTTGGGGTTCTTGTGAACAACCTTTTTTTCAGAGTCTTCAGAAATGTCTCCCTTCATTTAGGAATTTATAAAACCCAAAAATGTTTTAAAGAGTTTCTGAAGTGGCAGATTTCAGTCCATCGAAAAGCATTTATTAAACATCTCCTATATGCCAGTCACTGTGCTAGGTTCTGGATACAAATACTAAGTGAGACAATTCCTACTTCCATGGAGCTTACACTTTACTTTTATTAGAAAATTTTTGGTCTCCTTTAACTTTTTTTTTTTTTTTGCGAGGCAATTGGGGTTAAGTGACTTGCCCAGAGTCACGCAGCTAGTGAGTGGTATGTGTGTGAGGCTGGATTTGAACTCAGGTCCTCCTGAATCCAGGGCCAGTGCTCTATCCACTGTGCCACTTAGCTGCCCTTCCTTTAGCTTTTAAAACAGTTCTGTTCTTTAATTGACAGAGAGAGGGCTGGCCTTGGAGTCTGGAAGAACTAGGTGTAAGTTAGTTCTGTCTCTGATGCATACTGTGTGACCCTAGGCAAGTCACTTAACTTCTCAAAGTTTCCAGTAACTCTCTAAGACTGTAAGTTACATATGAGTTGTTGAGATGTCCTAGTGGGATAATTTTCTCCTATATGGATGAAACCACAGATCTGGACCTGTACCTATATATACACACACATACATATATGTAAATACGTATATATGTGGTGGTAGCTAGGTGGCGCAGATGGATAGAGCTCCAGGCCTAGAGTCAGAAAGGCCAGAGTTCAAATCCAGCCCCAGACACTGACTAGCTCTGTGACCCTGGGCAAGTCACTTAAGTCTGTTTGCCTCAGTTTCTCCATCTGTAAAATGAGAAGGACATGGCAAAACACTCCAGTATTTTTGCCAAGAAAACCTCAGATGGGGTCACAAAGAGTCAGACACAACTGAGATTAATGAGACCTGTGCTTTCCAAATATCAGTTTGGCAGCTATACAGATGAGGGCCTGGAGAAGAGAGAGACTTGAGGCAGAAAACCAATTAGGAGACAGTAGAGCATCAGAGGAGAGAGGTGATGGTAAGGGTATGAGCCAGCGTTGTAGGTGTATGAGAAGAAAGGAAGGGACAGAGGAGGGAAATGCTCATGATGTTTGGCAGCTGATAGGATGGGTAAAATGAGGGACTACTAAGTAGAACCTGGGTCACTGGAAGGGGGGTGATGCCCTTGACAGAAATGAAGACAAACATCTGTCAAGCACCTTCTATATGTAAAGCCCTGCATTCAGAGGATACAAGGATTAAAAAAAAAAAGACATCCCCTGCCTTCAGGCAGCTTACAACATATTTTTTTAGGGCAGCTAGGTGGCTCAGTGGATAGAGTGCCAGGTCTGAAGTCAGGAAGACTCATCTTCCTGAGTTCAAATATGGCCTCAGACACTTACCAGCTGTGTGACCTTGGGCTAGTCATTTAACCCTGGTTGTCTCAGTTTCCTCATCTGTCAAATGAGCTGGAGAAGGAAATGGCAAAGTGCTGTAGTGTCTTTGCCAAGAAAATACTAAATAGGGTCACAAAGAGGTGGACGTGACTGAAATGACTGAATAACAAAAATACATATGTGTATATATTTATGTATATATAGGTCCAGATTTGTGTCTCTGTATATACATATATCTGCATGCCTACATATACATATACACACATATATGCATGCCTACATATACATATACATATATACACACATATATATGTGTCTGTATATATGTCTTTGAATGTCTCTTAGGCAAAGAGATACTTTCTAGTGTTTTGAATGGGCAGTACAGCATCACCACATGTATGGTCTAGTGACAAGAGAATATAAGAAATCCTTAAGAAGAAAACCTTCAGTTTATCTCCTTTTGGGAAGGGTTCGCTTTTTCTTGATGGAGTCCACTTTAGATTTAGGAGGACAACTAAGCTATACTTGAGAGTGGTGACTCTTGAGTCTAAGAATTTTATCCTCCATGAGATAAATATGGGAAGGGGCAGCGAGGTGGTGTAGTGGATAGGGCACTAGCCCTGGAGTCAGGAGGACCTGAGCTCAAATTCACAAAGACACTTACTAGCTCTGTGATTCTGGGCAAGTCACTTAACCCTGATTGCTTCTAAAAAAAAAAGAAAGAAATATTGGTTCTTTGCTTGGGTTTGTTACTAACAAATGTGTGATTTTGGAGAACTCTTCTTGTGTAAGTATTTTGGCTGCCCCATTTGTACTGGCAAGATGGTGCCTTCCTCCCTTTCAATACATAATCACCTTGTGGAAATGAATGGCTCTGAGAGATTTTCACCATTTCTACTCTAGTGTATGCAGATATACTCCATTTCTCTCAAGATTCCTAACCTGCAGCTAGGAAATAGGCTTGTCAGCATGTTTGCAAAATTCTTAGATCTCCTTGAGGGAAAACTAATCTCCTTTACCGAACTTTACATATCCAACTTTATAACTGGTATTTTTATCCCAAGTATAGCATTTTAGGGATAGGCCCCACTGAAAGAATAGTAAATAGTAAAAGTAAATAATAAATGGTAAAAGAGGGAGAAATGAAGGATGGGAAGAGAGGCAGTGTAGTATTTGTTGTTCAGTTGTGTCTGACTCTTTGTGACCCCATTTGGGATTTTCTTGGCAAAGATACTAGAGTCGTTTGCCATTTCCTTCTCGAGAAGGAAACTGAGGCAGAGTGAAGTGACTAGCCCAAGGTCACACAAGTGGTAAGTGTCTGAAGCTGGATTTGAACTCACGAAGATGAGTCTTCCTGACTCCAGCCCTAGCACTCTATCCACTGCACCATCTTGCTGCCCCCAGTTTGGTATAGTGGAAAGGAAATTGGCTCTAGAATAATATGAGCTGGGTTCAGATGTCATCTGTAACATATAAGACAGTGGAAAGATTTGGAGTCTTGGGACCTGAGTTAGTGTCCCAGCTCTTCACTTATCACTTGTGTGACTTTGTGTATGACTTTGACCCTTTCTGGGCCTCAATTTCCTCAATTGCAAAATGAGGGGGTTGGACTCTGGGGCCCGCAAAGTTCCTCCCAACTTCAGGAAGGAAGGGAGGAAGGAATACAAGCCTGTTTCAGTGCTTTCTTCTGGCCAGGCACAGTGCTAAGTGCCGAGGCTACAAATACAGGAAAAAGAAAGTTGGGTCCCTGCCCTTTGATGGGAGCAGACCACACACAAGAGGAAGCTAAAAGGGGGGAGGGCCAGGGACAAGGTTCTGAAGGCCAGAGGAAGTCTTTCCATCGATGGTCCCTTACTTGTGTGACCTTGGGCAAGTCATTTAACCTTTTGGGGTCTTCCTCATTTGTCAAGTGGGGAGCTTGGTCTCTATGACCTTTGAGGTTTCTTGCAGGTCTAGACCTAGGAAGTGATGTACTGCAGAACCTGTGATGCCAAAGAAATGGTGGAGAGAAGCTGCTGGAGGTTGTTTGCTGTCATTCACCTTTGTAGTCTTTGAAAAAGCTATTATCATATTTAGGGCAGTTAATGCTGAGGCTGGAGTCAGGAAGACTTATCTTTGTGAGTTCAAATCTGGTCTCAAACACTTACTAGCTGTGTAATCCTGGGCAAGTTACCTAACTCTGTTTGCCTCAGTTTCCTCTTCTGTCAAATGAGGTAGAGAAGGAAATGGCAAATCACTCTAGTATTTTTGCCAAGAAAACCCCAAATGGGGTCATGAAGAGTCGGAGACAACTGAAAATGACCGAACAACAACAATACCATATCACACTGGGGCTTCTACCGTTTCATGTAGGGTTAGATGATTTCTGCAACAATCTTTGTGGGCTCCATCCTGAACTACTCAGATGTCTAGGGAGAGGCAATGTGCTGTGATGGTAAGAATTCCAGATGTAGGATCAACTGACATGGGTCTGAAACCCAACCCAGCTACCTATTACCTGTGCGATCTTGGGAAAGTTACTTTGTTTCCTCAAGCATTCAGATACTTCAATACATACTAATTGCCTGCCAGCCTGTTGTGTGTTAGACACTGTGTAAAGTGGTGGGGATGGAAAGAATATTTTTAAAAAATGGCTGACCTCAAGGCGCTTACATTCTGCTGGGAAGAAACAGTACACAACACACACACACACACACACACACACACACACACACACAGATACTTAAATACAAAATACATGCTTTCAGGGTTGGGAGTGAACCATAACAACCTGGAGGTAAGGAGAGTCTTCTTGTAGAAAGGGGTGTTTGAGCTGAGCCTCGAAGGGGGTCAGGAATTCTAAGATGTAGAAGTGGAGGAGAGTATTCTGGGCATGGGAGAGTCTCTGCAAAGGTAAAGAGAGAGGAGATGGACTCTCATATTCATGGAGTGACAAATAGGAATATACTGTGTGTAAAGCATTAGAGTCAGATGATGAAGGGTTTTTAAATGCTAGGTAGAGGGGGTCGTACTTTATCATCGAGGCACTAGAGGATCGCTGAAGTGTCTTGAGCAGGGAGCGCCATGGTCAGACCTTTAGAAATATCACTCTCATACCTGTTTGGAGGATGGATTGGAAGGGGGTGGTGGTGGTGGAGCCTGGACAGAGACTTCCTAGGACACCATTGCAAGGTCTTAGTTGGCTCATCTGGAAGACAAAGGGAGATGGACTGGATGTTTGCTAAAGTCCCTTCCTGCTCAAAATCTATTATCCATGTGATCCTAAGAAAGAACTAATCCCAAGATCTCTCAGGGGGCTGGTCTTGCTTGTTTTGCAAAGAATTTTAAAGCTTCAAGTCAGCCAGAACTGAATTGCATGACAGAGGTCATGCTAGGTGGGCACTGAATGATGGAGCTGGAGGTAGGTAGGGCAAGTTGTTCTGGAAGAACATTTCACCTGGAGTGTATGTGTGTGTGTGTGTGTATGTGTGTTTGGGGGGGGAGAGGAGTGTAGATTTTTCCAAAAAAAATTGTGCAAAGATATTTTTTCCAAAAAAATTTTTGAAATGATTTTTCTTTCCAAAATTCCAAGATTTAAAAAAAGGAGATTTGTTTTCCAAAAGCAGGACTTTTGTCATGGGTTTGTGATCTGCAGCAATGCTCCAGAACCACTTCTCTCCTCATTTCCCTACCTTACTCTTTCCTCTGTGCTTGACGAAGCTTGCCCATGGGTACAGAGCTGACATTTTGAGATTGCACCAAGTAAAAGCAGGGTGATGGTATCTGTGGCTCACTAACCACACTGAGCAACTGAAAATCCCCAAAGGGACCATGATTTCCTGAAAGATAAAGCTGGAGAGCAAATGTATAAATAATTTGTCCTCAGTAAACTGACAGTTTCACTGCTAGGTTGGCAAAAAAAAAAACCTGATGATTTTTTTCTCTCCTTCAGTTTACATATCTGGATATTGGTGGCGAGGATCAAAACAAAGGACAGGAACCAGAAGGGACTGGCTCCAGAGAGAGACAGAGCCTAACCTGTTCCCCCAGCCAGGCTGGAGTGGTTTTGATGGAGCCCCACACAGATAAGCTGGAGTTCTTCCAAAAACTGGGCTATAGCCGGGAGGGTGTTGTCAGAGTGTTGGCAAAGCTGGGCCAGGAGGCACTGGTGAATGACATCCTACGGGAGTTGATCCAAATGGGCAACCGACCTCATGTTGAAGAAAGCTATGGGGAGAGCTCTACTCCAAAACTTGTTGCACGAGGCTCCTCCGGTGGCACCGTGGACTTGTCCAGACGGCTTCTGGGTGCAGATCCTGAAGACAAGTTGGAGGACCCTGGCAATCATCTGAGACCCATTGTGATCGATGGAAGCAATGTGGCTATGAGGTATCCAGTTCATTCATTCTGCTACCGAGAGGGTGCTCTGTTTCTCATAATTTGTCTGATATCCCATTAGGATGTGGTGTAGCATAACAGAGAAAGCACAGCTAGGGTGCAGGAGATTTGGGGTTCTGATCTTTGTTCTATCACCAGCTAACTACCTGACTTTGACCAAGTTACATGACATCTCCATGTCAAGTTTTTTCATTCACAAGCTTGTCTTGAGACTCAACTAAGATCACACACACACACACACACACACACACACACACACACACGGTGTTTTTGTGGGTACATGTTCTTTAAAGCATCTCAGAATCATCAATTTTAAGCTGGAAGGATCAGAGGACCACTGATCTAGAGTTGGTCATGACTTTAGAGGTCATCTAGTCCAATCCCCTCATATTACAGTTAAGGAAATGGAGGCATGGGAAAATGGAATGTTTTGTCCATTGGCACACAGGTTGCCCGTAGCAGAATTAGGATTTGGATGTCCTCCGACTCTAATTCCACCTCACTTTTCCACGCTGTGTCTTCTATTGGGAATATTTCACTTGTCAGCCCTGTGAGAATTAATTCCAGCTTTCCAATTTCAGATATGTCTAAACTAACCTTTTTAAAAATAAAACAAAATGAGGTCATCTAATGCAATCGTAAGATCTTCCCTGATTTCCAGGAGTTAACTTATCATCACTTCTGTCTAAATCATAGGAGTTTTCTAGACTTGTGGGCACACAGTATTGTTGAGTAAGGATTTCACTTTGTCCAAGGGAATATTCAATTTGCTGAGTCAGAGCCTGAGCAAAGAACTTTACTGTAGGAACTTGTTGGGTCATTACTGTTGATATGTTTCCCTTTTGTACGCTGAATCACTGGTGGAATCGAATTCACCAATATCATCAAAAACCTCATATTTATTAACAGACCATCAATGTGACCAGGCCATATTGTTTGTGTTGAACCGACTTCAGTTTGGCAACGAGAGGTCAAGAGTTTAAAACAGTTCAACTACTAACTTGTCTCTTACAGCTCTTGTTCAGACGAGTCCAACATAGATCCATATCTGGCTTATTCATTCCTTTTTTTTTTTTTATCCAGTAGGGTCACTCTGGGCTGGGATAGTATTAAAACAGAGAGTAAAGCCCCTTTTGCATAGAATCATATTGTAAGATCCTAGTTTTAGAGCTGGAAAGAGCCTTGGAAGTCATCAAACACAACTCTCATTTCACAGATGAGTGAGTTGAGGCCCAGAGAGCCTGATTCTCTCAAGATTGTTGTTGTTCAGTCATTTTTCAGTCATGTCTGACTCTTCATGACCTCTTTTGGGATTTTCTTGGCAAAGCTACAGGGGTGGTCTGCCATTTCCTTCTCCAGCTCATTTTACAGATGAGGAAACTGAGGCAAACAGGGTGAAGTGACTTCCTCAGGTTCACATAACTAGATTTGAACTCAGGTTTCCCTGGCTCCAGGCCCAACATTCTATCCATCGCACTGACCTAGCTGCCTCACAACAACAACTCAGTACGTACTCTGTGCCAGACACTCTGATAAGCCCCTTATGGATATGATTGCGTTTGATCCGCCCAACAGCCCTGAGAGGCAGACCACTGAGTCACCAGTCAAGCTGCTGCAGCTGTTCCAGCTGTCACTGCTCCCAGAGCCAAGTCACATGTCCTGGCCTACTTTCTGGGTTCAGTGCCCAGTTATGCCACTTGCATCCTGTGAGACTCTGGGCATATCCCTTAACCTCTATAAGATCTATTCATAAAATGAAAGAATGAGTGCATTGCCTTCCAAGCGATTTGTAAACATGAAAGTGCTATATACAGGGATGCTGTTATTATCCAAGTGAAGGGTATGCTTCTAAAATCTCTTTCCTGGGCTCAAAGATGTCTTTGTCCTGTCCCTCCCTCATTCCTCTCCCCTTACCTTAAATCACCATATTTGAGCTCCTGTTCAGTTTATAAGACCTAGGCAGAACTGGAAAGGATACTAACAGCTCAGGCAGTTTGGGCAGACTTAGAATTCTTTGGAAAATCAGATCCCAGCAGAACGTGGCAATAGCTGTGGCAGGAAATTGATAACTGAATTGAATATGGAGGAATCACTGGGAAGGGTAAACCAGGGGCTCAGAATTCAATTCCCAGGTCTCTGCCACTGATGAACTTTTTTCAGTAAGTCAGGTAACTTGCCCACACTTCACTCTTCTGATGTGCATGGTTTAGGGGCAGGCGGTTGCTATAGCCACTGATTTCATCAGGGTAAGGGATTCCTTGTGTGGAAAGTCCCTCCAAGGATGCAGATCAGCCTTAGAGCATCGCGTAAGGCATTGAGATAGTGAGTGACTTGCCCAGGGTCATTCTCAGGGTCACACAGTCAGTGTATATCAAAGGCAAGACTTAAACTCAGGTCTTCCTGACTTTGAGGGCATCCTTCTATCCACTCTCCTGCCTCTCTTGCAAAAGGTAACTATTGTCTAAGTGAATAAACTGATGATCATTTTCTTTTTGCCTGAGCTTCTTATGGAAAAAAAAATAAAGTCAAAATCAAAATGAGCCCTGGAAGCAGACATATTAGGCAATTGCCTAGAGTATAACACACGGAGGTGTTAATGAATGGCCCTTTTTTATATTACTTTTTCACAATTCCCCTTTCATTGGCACAGAGGCGTTTATTTTATGATATTAAAGTACATGTGTTGGAATAAAGGCTATATGCCTCTGGCGGACAGGAACAGAACAGGAGCACCAGATCCCTGCCTCACGTATACAAACACCACCCCTCAGGTCTGGTCCGAGTATAAACATTTCCCCTGATTTTACATATTTACTAGATAGAATAGTACTTCAGTTAATGGGATCTTAGTGATGAGGTTCAGAGGCACCCCAAAATGTTGGGGTACAAGGTCATCCCAAATCCATTTGTATACAACTTTAAGGAGAAGCAGAGACATCATAAGAGAATGCTATCAGGGACTTTTTCTCCTTTAAAAATATACACAATGTATGCTGGGGTCAGTACATACTGGACACTATCAGTATAGTACAGTGGGAAGAGTGTTGGGTTTGGAATCAGAGAATCTGTCTTCAGATCATGCTGTGTGACATCAGGAAAGTTACCTGTTACCAGGCAGTCTACCTCTTTGGACCTCAGTTTCCTCATTTATAAAATGAGTTGGATTGAACTGCTTTCTAAAGCCTTTTCAAGCTTTAAATCTATAAGCTTAAATATGATCCGATCCCTTCTTCAGTTCTACGTTATGGGACAGTGGTGACATTGGAGTGTGTAATTTGGATTCCCAGGTACCTGAGCCTGTATTCCGGGGGTAATAGATGAGAAGCAAAAAGATTTAAAGCATATTGCAGATACCTGGTAACTGATGTACTAGGAGAGGACTTATTGAATAGGACCTCAAGGTTACAAGTATGTTGTTTGTCCTTCATTCTCGAAGAGGACCATGACATCAGGAAGGTGATACCATGACTTGCAAGTGAATTGGATTTAAGTGAGGCAGGGCTGTGCAGAGTCAGCAGCCTCACTGTCTCCTCTGGAACTATCTGGGTCCAGTGGCCAGATATAGATCAGGACAACTGGAGATGGCCCCCACAAATATGAGACACTGACTGAATGGTGGAACTGCTGATAGAAATAGTGGAGTCAGAAGGACAAGCAGACAATATAATTACAATTAGAAGTGTCCCAGACATGAAGGATGTTCTGACAATGGCTTCTATCTATTTCTTCTCAAATATAGCTGAATGACAAGCAGCAGAGGGGTCAAGAGACCCAAGTTTGAATTCTTTTTTTCTTTTTTCTAGGCAATGGGGTTAAGTGACTTGGCCAGGGTCACATAGTTAGTAAGTGTCAAGTATCTGAGGCTAGATTTGAATTCAGATCCTCCTGACTCTGGGGCCGGTGCTCTATCTACTGCACTACCTAGCTGCCCCCTGAGTTTGAATTCTTTGACAAACTGTATGATCATGGGCAAATGATTTAACCTCTGGGAGCCTCAGTTTCCTCATCTATACAATGGGGGTGATAATAATTGTGCTACCTCTCTAGCCTCTGGGTCAGTGTGAGAAAATAGCATAATTGTGAGCTGCTGTGAGATCCCCTGACTCCTGAACCAAGTGAGATTGTCAGTGGAGTTCCGGTGCAATAAATACCAACCAACTTCAAGTTTAGATGTCCCACCTGGCACTCTGTCACTGGCATTGTAACCACCACAATCAACCAGGGAGCTCACTGTTCTGTGTGCCTTAGGGAAGTGCCCACACCTGCCGTAAACAGGAGGCGCAAGCAGTCACCTGTGTGCTGGGAAAACCCCTTTACTCACCATCCTTGAAAAGCTGTAATAAGCACCACTCCTTTTGGGTCAAGGCTACATCCCCGTTAAACTAGAAATAGCCTAGGGAGGGGCAACATATTGAGCCTTTATCAATCATTAACACTTTATCATGAATTAACTTATCAGATCTTTTCCAACTGATAGCTTCCAAGGTCTGTTGGAAAAGGTCATAGAACTGGTTAAGAGGTTGACAAGGGAGACTAGAAAGCAATTGTCCATAATTTGGGGAGAGTGGCCCTGTTTAGGACTTTGGATGTAAGCTTCTTGAGGTCAGGGAATTATTGTCTCTGTATTTCCAGCACTTAGTTCTTAAGAAATGTTTGTTGGGTTGAACTGAATTGGGCAACCAAGGTTGTTTGAGGTGGAGAAAGGAGCATGAAAGCAGAAATGACAAAATTAACAAATTTCACCTAGGCTGGTCCTGGCTCTATTTTTGTTCACTGTGTTATTCATATAATCTGTTCAATAGGCTTCTAAATACTTTCTGTTACTACTGACCAAGCAGATCATGTCTTGTTCAGAGCTCATTAAAGAAGGGGATCTCTCTCTCTGTCTGTCTCTCTGTCTCTCTCTGTCTCTCTGTCTCTCCCTCTTTCTCCCCTTCCCTCCCCCATCCCGACCCTTTCCTCATGAATCTACCTTGAGGGCATACCTATTC